CTATTTGGCCTGGAAGCTCGCTTCATTACATGCAGTGCCTAGCCGAAGATCGATGGGAAGACTATTATTGGCAGTACGATACCGAGAGGTATGCATACTGGGGACAGGGGATCTCATGGATTGAGAACCTCGAGCTGGACCCGCTGGGGCTCAAAATCCAAGAGTATCATTCAAACATGACGACAATCCCAGACCGGGACTCCGACTTGAGCTTTTACCTTCACAAAGATGCACCTATACCACTGGAAGCTGCAAGCACCACGATCAATGCTGCGACTGAAAATGCGAGCCTCGCTATTGCAGGGGAGAAGATCAGCCTGGACTCAGCTCAGCAGGAGGGAAGCGTGGGCTCTGACAGCGGCGTAGGCATCTCTAACGATGGCGAGTTGCATGACAAGGTGTATGTCAAAGAATGGGATGCTACAATTAGTAAGTTGGGGGACGATCCTATTGTTGTTCCTGTTTAGCAAGTATTTGTACCCAAGAGAGAGTATAAACCTGGACTTATAGAGCATAGTCGAGAATTAACTCAACATATTTTCTCTGCTAAAGAAAATAAGAAAATTACCAACAATTGGGTCTCACCGAAATTTACTTTCAAGCTTATTCTCACGCACAAGAGAGAATGGAGCATTCATGTAGCTTTTGAGGTTGACCATACTAGCTTGGTCCGCTACCTGAATTTCAAAAACGCACTCTCTTTGATGATGAGGTCGTGTAGTGCTGACGAATCGAAATCCTCGTCTGCTCGCCTACTAATCGAGGTTGGCATCACTAGACCTATATGGGAGCAACTAAACTAGCTGAATGTTTGACTGTATGCCGAAGGTGAGAAAGCCGAGGGACCCTTGCAAATACTCCGCGGCCTGCATATTGCTTTCTAATCAGATGGCATCTTACCATACTTGCACAAGGTAAGTGCAAAGTATTTTTCAATATATTTGCGAGAAAAAGATACTTAAAAAACTGGGTCCCGGACAACGATTTGAGATCGGTGATCGACATAATCTTGACCGGCCGGCTTACGCTCCAGATTCGGAAGCATCGCGTGCATTAGCAGTATGAGGCTTAGGCTTTCAATTATCCGGCATCACCTTGAGTATCATATCAAAGGATAAGCCAGTTTCTGACGCCAAGACCTGGAAAGAGCTAAGCAAGGCAAATCTCGATATAGCTCAACGAGATTGGTGGACTTCTTTCTTGAGCTTGATAAGCAATTCAAAGTTTCTAATTTGGAACATGAGTGACCCACTACTAGCTATTGGGAATGAACACAAGACTCAACTTAGAACCGTCCGAGACTCAACTGACAACCCTCCGAAACTCAACTCGAAACCCGCCGGGCCTACTTCGAGCATACCTCGCAGTCTGATAGGCAAGGAGGTCGTGGGCATGTTTGAGCATGTCGTCTACGTCAATTCGGACCTTTAACCTAGAAAAGGAAAAATTCCTGTCATTGCATGAGACACGACACTTGCGGGTCCTACGTGATAATCTGGCGTGCGGCTGCGCGTGCGGCTGTCTCAAGATTTCGGCTTGTGAACAAACAAGTTAGCGAGTGAGATAGGCTCGATATGGAAAGTAATCTATCTGGGCCAGGTGCGCTGATCCGATATCTCCAGCACGAAGTCATTTGTCATCGTGTCATGAAATTTTCGAAACGGGAGCGTATGGTTATGGCGTGATGCTACTCACAAGAACTGATAGTGCAGTAAGGACTGTTGCTCTGTTTGGGTTGCTATTCCTGTATGGGACTTAGGATTGTCAGAGAAACATATATAAACTCATCGACTTCTCTAGTTGTCTTGTCTTGAGAATCTTCATCCGCTCCTCACATATTATATTAAGCCTAAGATATCACAGCCTCGATATTAACTTTGTTTTCATTAAATCCAAGCCGATCATCACTCAAAATGGTTGCCTACCCTCCTGTCTTTCCGGTGGATGTAATGAATTGGTGCAGCAGGCACTGTGATACCTATCCTGAGATCGATCCTGCCACCAGATCCAACAAGCATGCCAAAAAGGCTGTGTTCATCACTGGTGCTTCTCGTGGTCTCGGTTTGGCCACTGCCATCTCCTACGCCGTGGCTGGGGTCTCCCATCTCGGTCTCGGTGCGCGTGGCGATCTGACCAAAGCCCGAAACGCCATCGCTGCCAAGCTCAAGGAGATTGGCAAACCGATACCCGAGATTCTTGCCATCAATGTGGATGTTGAAAGCGAAGACAGCGTCAAGGCCGCGGCTGAGAAGGTCGAAAAAGAATGGGGCCGGCTAGACCTGCTCATCAACAACGCCGCTCGCATTGATACCTTCATCCCCATTGTTGAATCCTCCACCGAATCCTGGTGGGGGCAGTATGAGGTGAACGTCCGCAGCATCTTCTTCACTACCCGCGCTTTTATTCCCCTCCTTCTCAAAGGAGGCGACAAGACCATCGTGAACACTTCGTCCGTCGGTGCCCACATCGTCATGAAGGGAGCTTCTAGCTACCAGACTGGAAAGCTGGCCCTGCTCCGCTTCAGCGAGTTCGCCATGCTCGAGTACGGCGAGCAAGGTCTCTTGGTCTACAGCATCCACCCAGGTAGTGTTAAGACCGACATGGCCAATAATATGACAGAGGAGTTTAAAACCCTCCTCACTGACACTGCTGAGCTGTCTGCCGACTCTATGGTCTACTTGACCCAAGAGAAACGTGACTGGCTGGCTGGACGCTATATCGACCTCACCTGGGATATGCCTGAATTCCTTAGCCGGGAGAAGGAGATTGTGGAGGGTGACAAGCTCAAGGTTAGACTGGTCATTTGAGGGCCAATTAGGAATCAGCAACATGATTTTTCTTTTTGGCAGTTGAAGGGCCATCTAGCTATCGTGTTATGAGACGGTTTCTATTGAGTTTGATTTCAGATGTTGGTTATGTCTTTCGCAAATTTATCCTTCTTGATAACGCAATCACAAAGGCAACAGACTGGGACTACATGGACACTATATAAAGTAGCCCCATCAATTTGTGGTTTGCAAAGACAATTTATTCAATATTTTTTACATCCTCTATTCCTATATGGTAGAATTAACCTCAAAGCTTCTAGCGAAATCGAGAGGTCGCTACCTGTGTTTGACCTAAAGAAACTACCCTCATCTACTCCTGTTAACGGACATAAAACGCTGAAAGGTCGCTTAGCAAACATGGAGTCATTACAAGAAATTCCACGAAAGGTTGAGGTCTGCGAAACTTATGTAGTATCCGCATAAACCTAAGAATGGGCGCATCGAGCCTGTGGTCCAAATACCGCACACCTCTTGCGCTTTCTACATGTAACATTCTCGATGGAGTCCTAGCTTTACTAACCTTATAAACAGTTAACAGACTCTTTACTAACTATACTCAGCCGACTTATTGCACTCAATAGGCTGAATAGTCCCCAAAGCCACATTGAACTAGATCTACAGCATGCTCTAGATAAGACAATAAAACATTAAATCTGGGGATCTCTTCTCTATGCAAAAGACTACGGCAACTCGACTTTAGAGGCTTTGCCTGTAGTGAAGAATACAGTACTGTGAGAGAGTTTGAGTATGAAGTAAAAAACAGCAATGGAAGAGGCCAGACCCGACATCTCAACACAATGACTAATATGGAAGAATACAGTAGTCATACTAGTAGAGTCGTGACACTCCCCTCTAACTTAACCTCTATTCTGCCCTAATAACTCCTTACCCTACTCTACTCGTTCCTATTTTTCCCGGTCCCGACTCAAAAGCCTCCGGGACAACCTTTCCTATCCTGACAAATCCGCCTAACTGACCCAGTGTTTGCTGATCATAGCGAGGATCCATCAGCATTTATGGAGTTAATTCATTCCATGTAGAAGGCCCGGCTTCTGCGGAGCTTTTCTCCAATGGAAATTGTGAACCACTCACATGTACCATGTCGCCGGCATGGACACCTGACCACCCCCAAAAGTACAAATCTTTCCCTCCCCCCAGCTATAAATTCATCCACCTTCTAGGTCTTAGTTTTTCTGCCACGAGCGCCCAGAATTAACCTCATTACCTACTACCGTTATTGATGGTCACCCTACTATTCACCGTTTTGAATTTCTCCTAGCACACACTATTCGCAGATCATCGCTTCTAACTCATACCCTTACAATGCTCTCCGGTCTCGTATCAAACGTTTAAGCTTCTCGTGCGTCTAGATTATCGTCGGGTCTGATAAATTCAACATATTTTACTTTGCACCCTTTGTTTTAAAAATGCCTGGCCTTGTTAAGGGAGCACAAAGTTGGTCATGGCGCTCACCGGCCTTTCGTCCTACTACCACTTTGCTCTCATGGGAAGGACAGCGAAGGCTACTATCGTGTGTTCGTATTGTACCCTTTCCGCAAGAAAGTAGGTTGGCCCCATTATATAAATCAGCTTTCTTTGTCGACTCATTTGCGGTATCACTTCCTTTGCGAAAGCCTCATGAAGTTCCGCTGGATGCACTTGCACAGGCCTTTTTCTGCGAGCCGCCTGCTTGGTTCTCACTGCTGATGAGGATCAGGGATGAAATAATGGCAATTTTTGGCGTAAAGCGCTCTACCGAGATACAAGCGGCCGCAGAGGAGAAGGGCGTTGACACCGTTGGGGTTTTCCCGGTTCGCTCCCGCACGGAGGATGAGATTATTGTGGGAGAGAATGACAGCCATCTAGACTTTCAAACCTCCATCTTATTACGACGAGAACATCGGAATGGCGGACTAGAGCATGCGAAAAACGTTAGTAAAGGGGAAGAGCTGGTCGTGACTACAGTAGTCCATTGCCATGGACTCTTTGGAAAGATTTACATAATGATTATTCGAGCCTTTCATGTTATGATTGTAAGGTACAGTCTGGAGAGAGTACCAAGCAGAATGCAACAGATGATCAAGTAGAAACAATTCTTACAAGTAGGATGAGCAGTTGAGCTAGATAGTAAAGTTGTAAACATATGGGCAGTATATCTCTTTTATATAAGGCCTATCTCAAGGACAATCTTTCTATCTGATGTTGAAGCTCTTGCTGGCGTTCTCGCGCCCGTTCCAAATCTCTTTCGATCTTTTTCTCGCGCAATCTTGTCGCACACTGCTCTAGCTCATTCTTCTGTTGTTGCAATCTGTTTCTTTCCAGTTGGATCTCAAGCTGGGCATCCAACAGACTAATTTCATCCTGCTTGCTGCTTCTCTTTTCTTCATCTAACTCTGCAGCGAGCTGCTGACCGTGCTCACGTTTCTGGGCAGCTCTGAATTTTTCCCATGGGTCGTCCCACCACTTTTCTAATGTCATTGACGTCGACATCGACTGCTTGACATATTCAAACGCATGTTCATCCCAACTCTCGCCTAGACAACCTCTTGTGTTATACGGGAACATTTCGCTGAACTCTGCCCACCGCATAACTACTTCAAGAGCTCGCTGTTCTTCCACATGAAACCACTCAATGTGCTCTTTGCGACACCCAACCTTTTGGCACTTTGCTACACGCTTCTCCTTATAAAGGGTGCGATGAACTAACCGTTCCATATGGCCAGCGGCGGATGGCATGTAGACTGCAAACAGGACCTCCATCTCGCTCATGCACTCATCTTTTTGCTTTTTCAATCTCTTCCATAGACGAAGATCTTTGTGTTTTCCCACGGGATGCAACACAATTTGCCATTCTTCGGCAGAGTAATCTTCATCCTTGGCGTAACCGATTTTTATGTGTCCCGGGACGGACTTGTGTGTGTAGGCGTACACATAGCCGGCAATAGCCCGATCTCCATATGGAATGGATCGCATGACGTTCAAAGTCTCCCTCAGAGCGTTCGATTTGGTTGATAACTCATAAATATTAGCTGTTTTGGTACCGTCTGATAGGGTCTCAGAGCTGTGAAGGAGTTTCCTCCCCGATGCTCTCCCTGTTGACACCGATGTCACCCTTTGCTTTGAGTTCTCTCCTGCTGACTCTTGGTTCTTGCGGTTAGATGGCGTGTTTAGCCGCTCTTCGTCATGTAATTCCTGTCCCTTAAACCGCAACAGAGGAGGTCGAGTGCCGTAGGGACATGCCGATCCTTCACCCGACCGCGCAGAGGAACCCCTATTTAGGCTTGGACTTTCTTTTTCTAGATAGCTGTCGCTATTTCGCCGTCCGGTAGGACTGGTCGTATATTCCGTATCTGGGGTGTCGGCCGGGGAAGGCTCGGGTGACGAGAAAGGGGAGTGAGTTGGAATCGAAGCTTCACTTATTGAACCCGATTCTTCTTTGCTGCCAGACTTGGCTGCAGAGGAATTGTTACTTCTTCGAGATCGGGTTTTCGGGGTTGTCGGAGCTTGAATATCTGCTTGAAGCTTAACTTGTCGGCCTGGATTTCTCCGAGGTGTATTTTTGGGCACTTCCGCTGGTTTTCCGTCAAGCTTGTCGTTATTGTGCTCGTCAATTTGCTGCTGTCTAGACTGGTACTCGCCGGGCTGGGGCGGGCTGTGGGAGCTGGTGTCATCTTCATCGCCCTCCTCACCGTCCTTATCATTCTGACCGTCCTCATCATTCTCATCATTCTCATCATTCTCATCATTCTCATCATTCTCATCATTCTCATCATTCTCATCATTCTCATCATTCTCATCATTCTCATCATTCTCGTTGTTCTCGTTGTTCTCATCAGTTTCACCTTTCTCATTATCCTCACCGTCATCGAAAGCTACCTCATGAACTGTCTCGCGTTGCAAACCTTCACCTAAGGCGCAAGGTTGGGACTCTTGGGACCCATCGGTTCCTGCTGTTAACGCTTCATCATCCGTTCCGCCGTTCTCTTCCGATAGCTTCCACTTATGGAAGAGATTACGAAGAGTATCAACGGACAAGATGTTTTCGGAAATAACCCTGTGGTCATTCTGACGAGAACACATGGAGTACTCAGTCAACCGCGATAACAACTTATCCATCCTGTTCGAGCTTATAGGTGGCGTGTTGGGGAAAGGTTTGAGAAGAAGACTCGCGAGGATTTCATCAATCTTCTCTTTGTGAGGAATAGGCGTTTTACATTTTCTGTTCTCTCGGGTGATCGCTAGGCAAGTCGAGGTAGCTTGAAGGGGCAAGCGTAACGCCTTCCTGAGGCGCTCGATATCGGTCAGATCCGGCACACTCGGCTGCGATTCCTTGGAGTCCATGGTCAAGTTTGATGTTCTGGTATAGAGTGGCGTGTGAAAGAACTGATTGGGACCAGCAAAGGCCAGTTCCTATAGATCAGAAGTGATATGTGAGAGGGAGGAGTAAGTGTTGGTGGACGAGGAGAAGGGGGGGGGCGGAGATTGGGGAAATATCCAGCCCCCCTCGAATTATCAATGTAGTATTAGCGATGGGGGAGCGGCTGAAGGATTCCACAACCATCACGTTCATATGCATGTTGGTCAACCAACATGCATCAGAGGAGTGGGGAATTCCACCATTACATACGAATATAGAATACGGGACATGTCGAGTACGGATGACAGCGTAGTGTCATCAATCACTATAAAACATTTCAGATATCTATATTTATCAATGGAAACCCATTCTATCCTGGTTTTTTACTCTTGCTTTGCTGTTAGTGAGCCTTGTCAAGACCATTCCATTACTCTGGGCCCTGGTTGCCATCGCCGCGGAACTTTTTGCGGCGAAGTGCATGCAGGCTGACTCCCCCAACCGCAACCAACACGAGCGGGATTATTTGCATATGCAGTTAGTCTCTCCCCAGAAATGGTTGTCTGAAACCCCAGCCTACCTAGACGCACAGTAACCCCTTCCCCCTTTTCGCTCGGCCGCAATTTATTGGGCATTCAGCTTCTACTACAATTCCCGGTGTACGATCAAATGCTAGGTAAAAGTTATCACCTCGGCTAGAGGAATCGCTTCCTAAATTGCAGACAGTCTACATATGGCTCGGCGGTAAAAAGCCAGCCATCTGACCACTGAAATAAGTAAAGGCAGGATGTATCATCGTTTTTACAGGGCTGTTGTTCGAAAGGCCTCGTTTACATCCAACGAGATTCACGTCTTCGCTTGTCAATATTCCGCAAGCTTGATCTACATTTGGAAGCTTAATACGAGGCGTCTCATTGCAATGAATTAGTAATGCTTGACTTGAATCTTAGGTTGAAGCTTGTCTCTCTCGCTTCCTGTACTGGAACTGAGAACCTGATCATCAACGTACTAATGCAGTAATTTGGCTGTGGACAAAAAGTGCTTGCACAGCAGGTATCTTCTACATAGAACAAAACAAAACTAAAAGCAAGCAGCATGAAGATATCCTAGATGAAGCTAGAAGAAATAAAGCGTAATGGAGATCGACCAAGATGGCTGTTCCGGCAGTGTTTTGCCTCGCCCGATTCTTCAATCAAGCTGGCGAATATGGCCTTCTGGGCTTAATATGAGAAAGGCTCTGTGTCCACAGGCAAGACAAGGCCAATCAGTCCCATAATCACAAAGCAGCCACAGGCGACAAAGATCGGAACAGGAGATGTGACATCGCCGAATGTAGCAATAAAAGGTGCGCTCAGAGATGACATTCTGCCAAGAGCCATCGCGAGGCCATTTCCAAGACCACGGTTTTCGACACTGAGTGACTGTGGAGTATATCTAGGTACACACGTTATTAGTTAATGCCAGTCTTTTTTTCATGAGATTGTGTGTTATCCTTACGAGTAAACGATGGCGTACAGAGCGTTTAGCCAGAAGTTTATCATGCACGAAAAAGCCAGATTCTGTGCGTCATTCCGGACGGTGGTGAAGGCGCCCGAGAAAATGGCAGCAATCGCGGCCGTAATGAACAGGGACTTCTTGGATCGGAACCATTTGTTAGAGACCATCCACATGCTGAGAAATGGACCGAAGATGCCGACGACGGACGAAACAGTCCAGTCGCGGTAGGTGGTGTAGTTTGAGGACTCGCCGAAGCTTGCTCCATGCGATGCGAGGTAATAGGGAAGGAAGACGGTGTACAGTGGATAGCTGAGTGTCTCTCGTTAGTATCATTCAGTACATGAGATTGTGGGTAACTTACGCAATACCAATGAGCATCCACAGCAAAGCCAAACAAGTAACCAACCAGATTTGTTTACCCCCAGTGACGAGTCGCTTGGCCCGCTTAAGGTTCTCAGATAAACTCTTGGTCTGTTCTACACTGACCTCCATACGGACAAAGTCATCGACAGACGCTGCATAATTTGACTTGTTCAATGCGGCAATCTTATTCAGAACGTCAACAGCCTCAGTAACGCGTCCACAGGAGACGAGCCACCTGGGGGATTCGAGCGTGCTCAAGACAAAGGCTCGGATAGCTGCCATGATAAGACACAGGCCACCAATGGTGATGTATAGGTATCTCCAACCCATGTTGTCTTCCTTGTGGCAAGTTGCGGGGGTTGAGCCGCTTTCACAACCGTATGTAACCAGTAAAGGCCAAGCTATGTCTGTTAGTCACCATTCATCGTTGTGAAACCCCTCCCTCATGATAGCTAAGGTCGGGGGTATTATGAGAATCAGTACGAACCGATCAGCCCTGTAAACGTGTTACCCAGACCCCAAATTGAAGCCAGCCCGGATAGCACGAAACCCCATTTCCTAGGAATACTCTCGGCGAGAAGAGTCAAATCAATAGCGACTAACATTCTTGTCAGCCATATCCACACAGGGACAAGACAGGGAGGGAATATGCGTACGATTTCCACCACCAAAGAACCCCAATATAGCAAGCATGGCATTCAATCCGGCCCAGTTCGGCATGGCAGCAACAAGAAGGGCAGCAACAGAGACGGCAAAAATCGAGAGTTGCCAAATCAGTCTTCTTCCCAAGTTATCTGCAAACCCTCCAAGTATAATCGCACCGACGAAGAGGCCAGCATAGTTGGAGGCGGATAGCAAAGTCGGGTATTGGGGTCCGAATTCCATCGCTGATTGCGGAGTGAGGAGGCTGATAGCAACGAGGAGCATCTATAAATGACCATGTATCGTAAGAAACTAAGCGTAGAGACATGCTGGAATGGGATTGGGTCTTGATCGAACAAACCTGGTCAACTAGAAAGCCAAAGCCAGACGTGAATGTCAGCTGAATTTGGAACCTTCCAAATCCGATGGCTTCGATTGCTTCATCAACAAGCCTCAAGTTTGTGTCCACAGCAAGGGGCAAATTGCGGATCGAGTCCGCAGTGCCGTGTTCATGGCTAACGACGGGCTCAAGGGTCTTGGTATCTCCCTTCTCAGGGGCTCCGGACTGAGAATCCATTGTTGATGGTTGAGGGATAAAAACTAAAGATGGCAAAGTGATGGAAAAGATTTCTTGCCAGGCTAAGTAATGGGTGTGATGTTGCAACTTGGGACGCCAGACGCGGTCTCATCCTAATATATATGCCAGATTCAGCATGAGTAATGACTCGTCACAATTGGACAGCCCAAACCATATCACCCCGCATCGGTCCAAACCCTGCGATTCCATCGATAGCTTTCCCCGGATTCGCCATGATCAGTGGCTCAATCTAGTATTGGGCGCTAGATAGGGGCCTGATAGGAACTGATCGGAGTTTCCATAGATACGGGTTGACTGGGGACGGAGGACCCGGACCGTGTTAAGCGGCGAATCCGGATGGCCAATACTACCTTAGCCCCGCACCGTGATGAGACAACACATGATCAAGATAAAAGAGTCCAGATAGCAAGGCTCTGGAAATTACCGCTGATATGACTTGGGACTAGTTGGCGATATAGACAGGCTGAGCGCGTGTACCAGCCCAAAACATCAGGGGTGAGAGTTTCGACACTACCCACACAATGGCGTCCAAGATGCAGGTCAACTGCTACTACCTCGGGTCCAACCAAGACGCCCCAAATAACACCTTGCCTGTCTTGCATTACCAAGATGTACTGCCGGAGCCCAGAACAGAGGCCTCCGTGACGGAATTTCTCGCCCGGAACAAGTGGGAAAAAAGAGTAAGCAACTATCTGCTAAATTACGAAGCGGCGGGTGAATTCGCTCACCTTTTTCCAGGGTACTTGGGGCCATATTGGCATCCGTCACTTCCATCCCAATAGCCACGAATGCTATGGTCAGCTTTGTTATAGCCCGTGATAACATCACTCTCCACTAATACGGTAATAACTTAGCTATCTTTCAAGGCTCCTCCAAGCTCCTGATCGGAAAGATTAAACAAGGCGACGGCGTCGAAATCAATGTCAAAACGGGAGACGTTATTGTTCTTCCCGCCGGTACTGCCCATTCTTCCATAGAAAGCTCGCCCAACTATCGCTACATTGGAGTCTATCCAGAGGTGAGTAAAGATCTTTGGAGAATCGAGCCATTCCTTTCCTTTCTGACGACGGAATCTCTATACTTCTAGGGTTGTCCCATGTGGCGAAATGAGATGGGGAAAAAGCCTGCCGAACAATTCCATGCCACGATCCAAGATGTGGCTATGCCGGAGGCTGATCCTGTGTACGGCGAGAATGGGCCTCTAACTCGTCTCTGGGTTGCAAGGCCCAGGAGCAAGTTGTAGGCTCAGAACTGGAGATCCAAGATATGAGTAGTCACACACCGAGGTTGTCCTCAGGTATCTAGTAGCATAGCGGTTTCGATAGCTAGTCTAATGCATGTGGCCTTTTTTATCCTCGAATGAAAATAATTCCCATACCAGTTGGCACTGGCAAAAAAACTATACTCAAATGCTAGTCCGTGAAGTTCAAAGAAGAGCTGTTTCCGGGTTTCCCCCTCATTTTGATCTTCATTTTCACTTCAGAGAAATGGTCATTCCCAAAAGTCGAAAAACTTCATTAAAGATGTATAATCCTGTTAACACATATAGTGTTTAGCTTCTCCTAAGACATACACAGTTCTTACTGAAGATTATAGGTTTATAAAGTTTGACATGCGTTGTAACATGAAATTTTGCCTGTTTCTTGGGTAACAGGTCTCAAAGATTTGCAGAGTAAGGAAGTGTAAAGCCTTCATGCCAATCTGACCTTAGATTCGATTTTCATTCAACTTAAGTAAATATGATTCCGTGCGTAATAATATGAAAGATGATTACCGATTTCTCGAGAGTGATTTACTGACAACATTCAAATTATGAGCACGTCAATTGTACGATCTCTGGGTCAAATATCTTGCATCTTCAAACCATTCCAACAATCAAATTTCCATCCCATAGAACCATGGTTCTATAATGGAGTTTGGAAGAATATGTCCTATGTTGTTGCCTATAGGTCTAATTCCTGGTCCTCGATGTTTCCACCGCTAATCTGAACCGTTTTGCCGCTACCATCCCATCCGTGTACGGTGAGCTCAAGCTTCTCCTTAGGCCACAGAGTAACATAGTTCTCGGACCACGTCACCGGGTTTACGTCTCCTCCTTCTTGATCTACCAGAGTCAGGCGGATGAAGAATGCAGGCACTTCCGACTCGTTCTCTAGAGTTACCGTGAAGACTTCTGGAGAATTTTCTGATGCAGCGGAGCCTGCCTTGACGGTGGCTGTGTCGAGCTTAAACAAGGAGGTGTAGTCTGCTAAATTGCTCACAGGAGTATAATACCAAGTTGAGTTCTCCCAAGCCAGAGCGTCGATCGTCTTAGACAGCCAGTAGACATTACGGCTCAAGATATCTCCTTCACCATCACGAAGATTAAGGCGCAAGAAGACAGCGTTCTCTATCTTGTCTAGACCTGATACTTCGCCGACTCGCACTGCCTTGTTAGGCGTAGTAGTTGCATCGAGCGTGGACTTGGAAACTTCCTTGCCCTTGAGGTCAATAACGTCGACGTCAATAGTGCGGGAACCAGACTTATCAAGAGATCTGTTGATCAACCAAATATCCTTGTTCACATAGTCATATGCTACATGCTCTGGTCGGGTGCCGACCTTGGTTCCAAAGTAGCTGCCTGCAGGATGGAGATATCGGTCAAATATATTCCAGTGAAGACTTGGCCAAGCATTGTCCAGCATCCAGTAAATCATGCCAGTCGCGACACGGCCGGTACTCCAGTGAGCGGCGAAGCCTTCGTGCTGGGCCCTGGTGGATTCGTAATCTGAGACTTGGGCTTTCAGGAGATAATCGTCGAGAGAGGTAGGGCTCCCGTAGCGCTTGTACAGTCCTTCGTTGTAGATGGTGCGTGTGTAGAAGGACGAACGGCTGGTCGACATGTGGTACAGACCCTTTTCGGGATTCTTCCACAGGTCATCCATATCGCTTTCTGTGAGGAAATTCTTCAGGCTGCCGAGTTCAGGAGTTCCAACGCCAGCACCAAGCTCGCTACCGAACCCGAACGCCGAACCATATCGCTCCTTCGATGGCTCAGTATCGTACCAGTAATTGGGTGGAATCCAATCGTAGGGACCCTCCATCTTCATACCGGTAGGCCCCAATAGATCAGGGTAGCCTCGCTTACTGGCGGCAGCTACAATAGGGACTTGCCAATTGGCCTGCTGAAGAGCATCAAGATAGATTTTGGTTGCCTTGTCATCAGGCCAGTAGTCGCTCCCTACTAGATAAGCAAGCATACTGGGGTGGCTTTGCATCATCTGCGCCTCATGAAGCATAGAGTAGCCGGCCCAGTCATAGTCAGAGCCATTCCAGACCGGCACTGGGTCAACTGGTAGATCTGTGTTGTATTCGAAGGCCTCCCACTTGTCGCAGCATTCCCAGCCGGCCATTATCATCAAGCCATAGCGGTCCGCAATTTCGTACAACTCAGGCTGCTCATTCTTTCCCTCAAGACGGAGGGTGTTGTAGCCTACGTCAAGCATGTACTTGACAATCGACTCGAATCGTTCGCCATTCCATCGCAGGAACATGTCACTCCCGAATCCTCCCCCGAATACCTGGAATGGCTGACCATTGACGTAGAAGACAATGTCGTCATCAGCGTTGATCTCCTTGGTCACGGTGCGCAACCCAAAGGTATGTTCAGCTACGTCGGATGTGACATTGTCTACCGAGATGGAGATCCTGGCGGTGTACAACGGTTGCTCGCCCCATTGCTTCGGCCACCAGATCTGAGGATTCTCGAATGTCTGGTTGAACTCCAGGATCTGTGATGACTTTCTCTCCAGGGACAGTTTCTTCTCCAGGACGAATTCTTCACCACCGTCCGGCGCCGTGATTACAGCTCTAGCGACAGCCTCGACAGGTGAGCAAGCTTTGAGATTTTGGACCTGGACTCGCAGGGACACGGCTCCGGGGTCGATGCTGACCTGGGCGCTTAAGGCGTTTGAGAACCTCAGGGGACCCGTCTGATGAACCTCGACATCGCGCCAAACTCCTGTGCCATTGTCAGGCTAATGCCATGTACGTCAGCAAGTCAAGATCCGCAAGGGCTAGGCTATCATCCAAATGACATATGGTATCGGATGAACTCACAGGTGCAGGATTCCAATCCACCCAGGCGATAGCCAGATCCCTGTAGTAATTAGTGGGATTGACCTTGATGACCAGGGCGTTGGTGCCGTTCACCACAGCCTTGGTGATATCGTAGTTGTGGCCGGAATGCGACCCGGACTGGAGCGTTTCGTCTGCAATCTGGTGGCCGTTCAACCAGATCTCACCGCTGGAGCTGATGCCGTGTGTTGGCAACACGTAATGCCGGTCAGGGGTGGCCTGGACGGCAAACTCGGATCGATAAATCCACGGGACATCGAACTGGGCTCTGTCCACGTGCTCGAGGTTGTTTGAGAACCAGAGGTCTTGCTCACTGTACAGCCCAGCCTCAATCATGCACCCCATCAGGGTGCAGCGCGAGAGTGGAACGTGTTGCCAGGAGCCGGTATCGACACCGGCCCGGGCCAGAGAGCTGAGACTGTCAGACACGTCTGCGGACGAGATGATGTCCCAGCTGGGGATAGGGACCACCTGGCCATTCTGGGAGACAATGGGATCTACAGCCGCGGCCTGGTGTCCAGGGCCAATGGCAGAGAGGGCGAGGGTCAGGAATACACGCCACGCAGACATGGTGGGCGGTGATATCAGGTCAGTCAGGCCAGGTCAGATCAATAACGCAATGTTTCTCCCACACTGATTGAGGGTTGTGACAGGCCACCGTCAAATCACGATATGAACACATATCAATTGTTTATAAACTCAGGCGCAGGGCACGTAATGTCTTAGGTTTTGAGCCCCGCACGCGCAACGTTACGGACTCCTCCTCCTCCGTCACGCTGTGATTTATTATGTCTTGGCCGACGAAATAAGAGGGATGAGACAACTGATTTGCAATGCTCTCCACCCCGCATCTGGACCAAACCAGAAGGATGTGACACTGGCTCAAGCCTAAATACACAGTCGACAGGGGTGGAGATAGTCCTCCAGGCAGCCAGGAACGAGGAGTCAGGGGGAAAGATTAGCTGTATTGCTCTGTGCCAAAATAACCCCAGGGCAAGAATGACTTTCCCTTTTCTAATGGATCCTTGCATGTGCCTCTTGCCTTTCCGAGGGGTGCTCTAAGCAGCAGACGGAAGCTTGGACATGGATTGTGCGATGTGATTGACTGATTTGCGTGATACAACCAGCTGATTCCCAGCCAGTCGGTCCGACCGAGAGCGACGGATTTCCGACATCAGATGTTCTGTGTGTTCCATGCATTCTCCAAGCTATTCGGGATGCCTCCCTCCCACAATTGGCGCAGAACTGAAATGGGGTACATGGTGCTTCTTCGGTAGTTTGGCCCCCGCACGCTGCATATGGATGAACATCTTAATCTACCTCGTCTTGGCTCTTCTGCAGGAAGCCAGTCGCCTGCTGGAAGGGAAACCGTATTCGTTTCCTAGTTAGCTGGGTGCTAATATGCAGGCGAGCAGATATGTATGTATATACGCAGCGCTTGGAACAGAGCAAGGGTTCGGTGCAAGGGAAAAAAGGGCCTTGCAGGTCATTTCATGCATCATCTTCCCAGGCTAAGGCAAGTCATGTAATACAGGAGCGAGACCCAGACAAACAGGAGATCTTCCCCATGATACGATTTTCGTTCCCCCGCAGCCAATCCAGCAGCAGCCATATCCAAGAGCTCGGCCAACCCACCTCCCGTGGCAGAGATCCCATTCCGTCCCCTGCATGTGGAACCAATAAATTGGTCCATCAGGTCATCTAGCTGCAAGTACGCCTCCAGATCCCGGTCTCCGGTCCAACCGTGTGCGAAGATCACACCAAAACACACCTGTGTCACTATCAAGCTCACGGGGTTGGTGCGGACGAGTCGCAGAAGTAACCTGGTTTTCACGGGTTTATGTGCCCATTTTTTTTCTCTCTCGGCCGGGATCTCTGTATTTGGCCTGTGTGCCTGGTATGTATGATGTGTGCAACCTGAGTACAGGCTGTAGGGCAACTATGTAACAAAGAAGTGAAATTTCAAACTGCATTTTCCGCTCGCTTAGTGGTCAACCTTCTCAATCCTCCCCGTCTTCACGTCGTAAATGTACCCCGTAATGGGCACGTCTAGAACCAGGGGGTTCTTCTCAAGCAGCCGAATGTCGTCCAACACACTCTCCCGCAGGTCCCGGAAGGGAAGAAAGGCGATGTGGTCCACGTCCTCGCCAGTCTTGTCCTTTATGCTGCACCTGATGTCGTTGTCCGATTTGCCTAGCATGCCGCAGTCCGTCTACAGATGTTCAGTCAGCTCTGCATTTTATGCTTGTTGTCGTGCAACGCCCATTTGTGCACTAGCTCTTTCGTTGCTTTTTTCTGTGTCTCTTCCGGCCCCTAATACAGGCAGGCCTCCCGGTGTATCAAAAAAATTGATGGCTGACTTACATGGTGGACAACCACAATTTCGCGTGTGCCGAGCAGTTGCTGTGAGATGATAATGGACCGAACTGCATCAATAGCGCGACCTCCGGCGTTCCTAGTTATGCTTGTCAGTAGATTTCCTTTTTTTTCCTTCCCTGCCATCTCTGCTCATCCATCTCTTGTTGTAATTTGGGGTGGTATGTCGGGACCTACCGCACAACGTGGGCTTGGCCCGGCTGCAGGCCGAGAGCCTCTGCCGGGTCAATACGTGCGTCCATACAAACGAGGACCAAGACCTTGCTATCCTTACAGTTAGTCTCTCCAATGCTTGCCACTTAGCATCTCACCAATCTAGATGTGACATACCTTTCATGCGAGTCCGCAATGTTAGCATGGCTGAAGTGATTCGCATACTGGGCATTGTATGCCTCGAACTGGGTGGCGATAGGTCCGGACATCATCTTGGCGACTGGCTTGTAAACGTCTTGGTCCACGATGTGGAAAGGGCAGCTGGCTAATCGGACAACGGAGAGAATATGATGTACGCCTTTGGTCTGAATCCCTTTTTCTGAGAAGATGGAAAGGTTGAAACAGCTCTTGTCTTCTCGAGCGTTCCTATGCGGGCTTCTTATCTGGCGACTTGGCACCCACACCTCTCGCACATCTGCATCATCTGGCTCTGCGTATCCTCGTCTATCATACCATATGCATCCCCTTTTGGTTGTCGGCCCCCCCTGCCCTCCATCTCTTGACAAAGGCCCCCGTCTGTCCAGGGTCTATATTACCCCTCTCAAGGCTGAAAGTGCTCTAGAACAATAGTAACCTGTATCTGACCCAACTAGTCCCACGCCTATTGGCGCCAAACACCCATACAGTCGGCTCATGCAGGCTATGTTTAGGGTTGGTTCTCGTGCCGTCCGTTATTACGCGCACACTTACACGTCAGAAAACCTCACGACAATCTGGTACGATTTCTCTCGGGTCGCGGCTTACCCCGGAGATCGAGATATCGTCCGAGTTGCCACCTCCGTTCCTTCACTATAGAGGCTTTTTTTGACACTCTCGTGTGACTGTTTCTGTTTTTCAAACAACCGGCAGCTTCCGTCAGATATCCCCCATGCTCCTTTGCCTTACACAGCCTGCCACCTGTCAAGGCCGCCACGATTATCCCCTCTGGGATGCCAGTCTGCCTGCCAGTCGACGTATATGGATTACCATTTCACCGCTCGTACGTTCTTACTCCACGCATGAGTCGGGCAGATGGCAGCCGTTTTTAATTTATTCTATTATCATATAGTATATCTTTGTTAAGGGTAGGGGAAAGGGAGCGGAGCGGAGCGCCACCATGCATCATGCTGCACCCTCACCCGAACCTATGGTGAATACTTCAAGTTTAAATCACACGTAGAGGACATCTAGAATTGTTCCCGAGATGAGGCGTGTATCGTTAGATCTATCTAGGGTGTGACCATCCCCGAAGCAGATCTGGTCGGCAATCTTGCCTGCAAAGTCTAGATATCAAAGTCCGTGTAGATGAGTGGCGGTATCCTGCCGCCCGCTGCTCACAGGTCCCTACTGTTTACGGGAGCAGGGTATCATGTCACACGAGGAGGGGAAATTTTCTGTAGCGAGACCGGGTGGACAGATCACGGCCGGTGGTTGGTCAAAATGGTGATGGCATGGCTCCTAGGTCAACCAACCACGTTGCCGGCGGTCGCAGAGGAGGAGCTGCAGAGGGGCCTGAGATTGCCAACAAAAGAGACACGCGGGGGACGCCGAAGGTAAGCGAGCAAGAATTTCACTCGAGATGGTCACCCCTGTTGGCTGCCGTTCCGCTCGCCTGTGGCATTCGAGCCGTGTATTCCTGCCAAGCCGGTCTATCCTCAGAATATCTCACAGATACAGATATCTAACCCTCAGCCATCGCCAAGCAGGGACAAGAGATTTGTATCTTGATGATCCGCAATTAGTGGGATACCCAGGTCCTTCGCCCCGCTGTTTCTGTCATTCTCACGAATGGAAATATTACCATTTGAATGACTGCGCGGGGGCGATGGAGTCAAGGATCTGGGAGAGAGCTCAGGCCAGTAGGTAAAAAAACGTAAAAAGGTGAATAGTGTCTTTCACTGACGGGATCATCCCTCCAGTGAAGACCGTTCTTCCCCACCAAAGAAGCTATCTCGTCTTCTCTCCACGGTCTAGTCGCCCCGGCAAACAATCAGGCCATCTTGCAACCCTTGGCCGTGCCGTGAAAATGAAGAGCAAGGGCAACGCTTACCAGGCACAGCTCGAGGTCGTGTGGGCCATCGCTCGAGACCCGGATAGAACGGGCGGCCAAGATGGACTCGCCCGGTTGTGCGTCGGCCAGTTCCGTTCAACCTGCAGATCCTTCTTTCTCGTGCCAAGCATTAGATTGCCCCCCGGCCATTACGCGGGGAGCTGTGTCCAATGACGGCGCCTCTGGTATCTGTTTCATTTTTGTTGAGCCAGGTGCATTTCAACATGTTGCCGGTCACGGGACGTTTGTCTCCCTGCTGACACCCGGTCTGCCCAGATGCAGTAAGTCACAAATGCTACTCCAGATCTAAAATTGAGATTCGGGGCCGGAATAAATGGTCAGGAAGTTTATATGTGCTTATTGGGGTTGCAGTTGGCCGCACGTTAAATTTTCAGTGATGCAATGATGCATATGGCGCACTTCGGATATAACGTTCTAGAAGTTTACCGTTTAACTGGGGGTTTCCCCTTTACCGGTCAAAAAGGGAAGCTACCAGGAGCCGGTAATAACAGTAATCACCTGGAGAAATTGCAGCATACAGGAGGGCTAGCTGGATGTATTCAAGCCACACCTAAGGAAGAACAAAGAGCTCATGGAATTAATAGCTTGGTGGATCTAGGCCTTTTGCCTCCTTTATCGCAAGAGAACATATTTTCTCGCATTAAGGTAGGCAGCGATTAACATCTAGCCGGGCCAAATGGCGGAATCCGCCTAATCCCAGGGGGAGCGCTTCTCCCAATCCTCTTCCTCAATAACAAAGTCAAACGTTGTCTCCAGATTATCTCGTTTACCTTCATTAATCTTGGGGACAGAAATGATGATGGAACAGACTGTGTAGGCAAGGCAACTCGACGCTTGGTTCCCATACTATGCAATGTTAGCAGACATATCGCAACATGTCGCCGTGTGTCTTCCCGGTATGTTCGGAGCATCACACTTACCACAGTGTAGGCAAACGCGGCTCTTTTTGTCTCCAGCGTGGGTTCATTAAGCCAGATAATGTCCTCAATCGACACCTGTGCAAGGCCCCAGCCGTCCTGAGCTACTGCATCCCAGTCATCCGTGGACTCAACTTCCCCGGAGATAGCTCTAAGCTCGAATGTGCGGCCAAGCTTGAAGGGCAATTTCGGACCGGTGAAGGAGGCAGGTTGCAGGACTGGTCGCAAGCATACCGCGCAGCCAAGTCGTTGGAAACCCCTCCAAATTACCATGTCAAGACCTTTTAGAGTGTCTTCCAGGCAACCCTCTAAATCGTTATGGGGGTACGTGTGAGTAGTATGAAAACCAACATATCCTCCTGCAGAAATAATTTGTCAGCTCGGTTTCCAAAAGGGTGCCAGACGCAGATTATCCTACCATCTGGTAAAAAGGTCGCATCTCCAACTAGGGCTTCAATCTCTCTGTCAAGTGGAGTCTGGGTATTGTTGAGAGGACTGAAGCTCCCTAGAGGCTGGATACTATTGAAAGTAGCATAGAGATTGTACGTAAGAGTGATCCGGTGCCCAGACTGAACCGGAAATACCTCGTGCTCGCAGTCACTATAAAATGCTGCCCATTGAAGTTCTGATTGCTCGGAAGTAGATGCCCAGTCAAACTTCATAACTTCATCATTATGCCGAACCTCCAGAGCGCCGCCATCATGCTTGACTGGCAGGCAAACGACAAGAGACCCGAACTGTGAGCGAGATCGAGGGGTGTCGACATGGGAACGGAAGTGCCCTGAGGGTCCGGTATAAACCTGGGATTCAAGTAAGTACGGGGAGCCAAAATATGTTGAAGCTATGGTAAATACTCACATTAAGCTTGTACAGCTCAGCCTTAATGATTCTCTGCCCCGTGCGCTCCGGATCAGGAAGAAGAAGTTGGGATATCACTTCAATGATGCCAGCGCTATACGGGCAAAAGTTTGTGGAGAAAGTCTGAGGCTCCAGTTTCGATGCCTTGCGGTAGCTCTCATCATACACATCTTCACCGCCACGACCAAAGGTTGCAGGCTTCGTTTCGGCTAGCAAGTGTTTGAGATTGCCTGTAGTTGTCTCTTCGATGGGAAGAATAAGCTTTGATTGGCTTGCAGGGGCAGATACGTCCTCAGGGTCCCATCGAAGAGTGACCGGTGGGTGAGTAACAGAAATCAGGCTCGAAGCCTTGCTAGATGCTGACTCGGGGCGTGAAGCTGCCTCCTTGCCGGTAGCGTCTGGGTCTCCCTGGTGCTCAGAGTTTATTGGTACTGTACCTCCACAAGCAAAGAGAAATTCCTTGTAGTTGGCTTCAACACAGAATTGCAGCGCACGCAGTTGACCGTTGGCCTCTGCCTCTTTCTCGTCTGGAATCTCTTGATCAGTGGCATCTGCGGTGGACTCGATCGATTTATCCGATTCCTCATCTTCCCAACTCTCGTAATCTTCATCCTGGAGGGACCAACCGATTGGCCTGGAATGTTGTCCTCCTGTAGATGGAGAGGGTGCGATCTGTGGATCCTCTTCTTCGGATGGCGTGCTAGGAGGAGCTATACCAGGCACAGGAACAATGTACCCAGTTTCGACGGGCTTTGAAGAATCTTGCGGCTCCATTTTCGAGATAAATACTGAACTTCATGAGACTCAAAAAATTGTGAGGAAAAAACAAACGGTGTGCAAAAATTCACGGTCAGCAAACAACACAGAACACGTACTTCCCCCACATGCTTCAGGCACCAGCTGGTCACGTGGAAACAGGGTCGAAGATGCTGAGGCCGAAAGCGGATGCATGGTAATCATTCTAATTATGAATTATTGCCAAGTAATGCACCTGAGATATGCTCTCACTTTCTGCTCAAAGACATTTGTTCCGAATAGAGTCAGTGTTCAAAGTTCCTTACAGGGATATCCCCATTTTACTATACGTGATGTGCAGTGCACTTCATCCAACGGCTAAGCCATAGCTAACCTACAATATGCCCGGAGTGATGTGTCTGCATGGACCAAGTACTAAATACTTTCCATTTCACTTTATATTCAACGTTGACGTCAGTGCTTGGCGGAATGAGGAATGAAGAACAGGAAGCAGATTGGTCCCCAGAGTTTAACGACCTACCCTATTCCCACCCCAACCGTGTTCGTACTTCAACGCGGTACGATCACCAATGCTCAGTTTGCCTTTGAACTTTTTCACTTACTGTCGCTTGCTATCGCTCGCTGGCTTGAGAAAAAAGGTCGTATAAACTTGTTCTATCTTTTACGTTCTCAAAATACTCAACGCGATCATAACTGACCACACATTCCAGCTCCCAGATATAAAATCGAGATATGAAACGTTGTCTCCTACAGTCCAACCATCTTCAGAGATTCTTCCCAGAGCCTACCCTCATCATTCTTATTGTAAGTAACACTGGAGTAACGAGGGCCAAGAATACTTCCGTCGTCCTCGCCACGCTCCGACTCGGCACAATCTGCAAGATAAACACCACCTCGACCCTCCCACTCCTTCCCAACCGCTGCGACAACAGTAGTAGCAGCACCTTGTTCTGTGTTCTTCAGAACGTGCATGATTGGTTTGACGGCAGCTGCCATCACCTCGTCTGGGATAAATCGCCCAATGCCCGAATACACATTTCCGGGGTGGAGACTGAGACCGTGAATGCCTTGAGATCCGAACCGACGCTCTATCTCATTGGCCATGTAGATGTTGGCAGTCTTGGAGCGAGAGTAGGCACCCCAGGCATCGTATGCGCTCTTTTCATAGTTATAGTCGTCAGTGGGCGCTATGCCAGAGACACGGTGTGCTGAGGCGGAAACGACAACGACGCGTGATTGAAATTCAGCTGATGATGCCTTGAGCATAGCGGACTTCAATAACTCGAACAGGAGGAAGTGCGACAAATGATTCGTTGCGAATTGTGTCTCAAAGCCGTCCTTTGTAAGCTGTAGATCAGGGACAGCCATGACACCAGCATTGGCGATGAGAATATTGACCTCACTGGCCTTGGCTAGAATCTCCTTAGCACCGTTTCGGACACTCTCTAGTGAGGTCTGGTCCATGTGAATCAGGTGCATCCTGTCTTCTTTCCAGAACTCGGCCAGGGCAGTCTTAGCCTTGGTTGTATCCCTGGCGGTTAGGAACAGCGTGATTCCAGTGGCGTCGAGGGCTCTAGCCGTCTCAGCACCGATTCCAGAGGAGACACCGGTGATTACAGCAACCTTCCCGACGAGCTTGCCCTCCAGCCCATTATCCTTTACAATTTGAAGGCCAGTTGGGCGGGCATCTCCTGGGCCGGAGGGATTGGCGTGGGCTTCAGCGTATCTAGACATGTTGAACTTTCGATAATTAGAAGATATTTCTAGAATATTGATGAAATTTTTGTGTTTAACCGGTATTCTTGTGAAAACGATGTTGAGGACAGTGTTTCATTCGTGAGGCAAAGGGGTCTTTATACTTTGAGGGCTACTTCGACTCCCAGGGAGCCGATGGAATTATCTCCGGCTATATCACCATGATCACAGATGAGTAGTCGATGCTATTCGGACATACTGGAGTTTGGCAGAAACCTCCTTCTAGATCATCCCCTTTGCAATTCTCCAGATGCTCGAGAGTGACATTATAACTCTTTCAGGGATGGTGGAGCTGGAACAGAGAATGACATTTTTTCCTAACTTGGTTTAGAGGCATTCTCCGACGTCTGTTAGCGCTGAACCCTGAATTGATCCTCTGGGTGGGTTTATGTGATGGCATCTCCTTCCCCTGTCAATGACATTTTTCCCTTTTCAATCACCAGCCCCAAGCATCGAGGTTGGATATTTCAGCTATGGAGGCATCTACCACCAGTTCCATTCCCGGGTCCGGCAGCAGCCCGGAACATGTTCAATCGGCAGCAGCTGATGCTGAGCGGAAGCACCGGAAGAAGGTACAGAATCGGATGAACCAGCGGGCGCGCAGTAGGTGGCAACCCGGTCTACTTGATGATCATAGATATCCAGTGATAATGGCACACTAATCCCTGGGGCACTAGGAGACAGGATGAGAGGAAACCAGTCGAAAAGGGTCATCAGCTCGTCAAAATTCGAGACGAGCCGCTGGAGGATAGATGAGTTTGAACTCCTCGAAGCACCTGAGCCAATGCATGCCACCCAAGAAAAGAAGAAAGCAAAGCGCACCAAGATTCATAACCGCAAAAATGGTAATGAATTGATTCTACCTAAAAAAGGTGCCATCCAGCTCCCCTCGGTATTCCACAGCCTGAGCCTCGCTCAAGTTGAGCAACATGCGCCACAGTTTGGACGATGGGCGAGACCACAATCAGCGATGCTGGGCGCATCTCCCTGCTCAGATCAACTATTAAACCTTGTCAATTACAACACATTCAGAGGATTGTTTATCAATAAGGCCCTGCTAGCTACCCTTTCTGAGCATTTCCCCCCAGGGAGCAATACAGCTGTCAACATCATGAAGGGCCTCCCTGGCCAGGCCACTGTTTTTCCATCATCACCTGATATTCCCACATCTCTCGTTCCAACACGACAACAGATGAGAGTCCCCCATGCGACGTGGATGGATTTCATTCCATTCCCCCAAATGCGTGATAACCTGATCAGGCATAATGAAGAGTTCGACCATAGGCAGTTCATCAGAGATATGGTTGGGGATTTACTCGACGAATTATATTTCTTGAGGCCAAGCGTCAAAACAAGCCCTCGTGGCATCCACAAGATTACACTCCAGGATGGCCTCGACGATCAGATCACAACAACAAGAAATGGGCTGATTATCTGGGGTGACCCTCATATACAGGACAGTTGGGAGGCCACGCCAGGGTTCTTTGAAAGATGGGGTTGGGTGCTAGAGGGGTGCGGTGAGATAGTCAAGTCTACCAATTATTGGAGGTTATTACGAAATGAGGCACCAATCATACCGGGTCTTTATAGAAAGGAGGAGGAATATACACCTGGCAGAATTATCAACGTTGATGATCAATAGGAAGGATAATGTATGGGAGAGCAGGACGTTTCTTCAAACATGGCAGGGTGTCAAATAACCCATAAACCTGCAATATTATCAAAGAATTTAAAACTGTCTCTTAATCTAGGCGTTCCGTTTCGTAAATGTGAAAAATTACAGTAAAGAATTACATTGAATTGCCATCAGATCAACTTGTGTTATATTTCTTTCTTCCTTGTTCAATGATGTTAAAGTATTTATAATGTTGGAAGAGGGACTCGGCCCGTCACCGTCATCGTGAGATATATGGTCGTTTTCTCCAACGCGTCTCTCTCTCTAGGCAATCGATGAAGGTATCCGTCCATATTGAGGATCAAATCGATCAGGGCCTCTTTTTCTTCAGCATTTGCTACTTCAAGGGTCGGGAAAAGGTAGGCTATTGAGCTTGATGCAACGCAAGCCTCTAGACCTTGAACAAATGGTATGAACCTCCACGCCTCCACACACAAATTTCTGAATCTAGTAAATAAAAGCTCAGCGTCATTGGCACCATGGATGACGCTGCAATCATAAAGCATGCGCAGTATGTTAAGCCGTAGGCCGATTGAAGATGCCATGGTTTGAGCCACGCGGACGTGTGAGGGCCGATAGGTGTTTCCCGCGAGTGATCCGGGATCATTTATTTCGTATATTAGACCTAAATCGGAAGATTTCTCAAGTAATTCGCTATATGCACTCTCTAGAGCGTTCTCGGCGCCGGCAAGGTCTCGGATCAGTTGTGCTGAGGCTTCCGCATCTTGAGGCCCAGAATGGACGACCTGGCAGCGAAGTATCAAGTCTCGTGCTGACCTGAAGACCTCGTTATATGTAGTAAGACTCTGTTTGAAATACGGTCTTAGCTCCTCGTTTTCGATAAACGAAGCCATAGTGTCTGCAACAAGTTCGCCCCACGGCTCTTCTGTGATGAAGTTATTGCGGCCTGTATTGATAAAGTAAAGGGCCTAGATTTACGAGAGTTAGTGGGTTCTCAAGGCTAGTCGGGCAGGTGTGTTGGGTATAGGCAAGGAAATTATACCATCGTGCCATAGCTGTCAGTAATCAGACCACGGTGGAGTCTGTCATCGGGCTTTGGAAGTCTCAACTGTTGTATAATATCTGCAATTGCCGCTGAATGAGTTATGCATAGAGCATTACGCCCTCGATTAAAAACGTTCTCCGTACGTTCCAACATCATGATGGATGCTAATGTCTCGACTGTCAACGTTTTCCCCGGCGCAATTGCCCGGCGCAAGCTACGAAGGGCCTTGCCGTAGGCAGGCAAGGTGACAAATTCCTTGGCTGACTCGCCGCGACGATACTCTCCAAAGACCGTGCAAAACAAACCCACGGTATGCTGTAAACAAGTGCTTTCCGACAGACGTCTCGGCAGATCCTCCAGGTAGTGCATCGAGAACACCCAGCCCCAGTCTCGTTTGCCATCGAGATGGTAAACAATGCGGGAACCAACGCGGTCCGCCGTCGTGGTCAGATTCGGACGGGGCGCGGTTCGGAAACGAAATGTTTTGGTTAGAGCCTTGTCAACACCAGCCGGGCTCTTGGTGCCTTCTAATGGGCGGTGTCGTTTGCTTAGAAGAGGCTCCAAAACCCCTACTCCATGGCTAGCCTTGTTCTCTACAGGCAGTCTTCCCTGGCCCTCGTCATGATGACGACTAACAAACTTGATCAAGGAGGTCGGCCCAGGACATGTCAAGCTCTTCCGCATACACTGGCTGCATGTAGGCCATTTCTCATCACACTGAAAGAGGGCAACATATGCAAAGTTAGAACTGTGTCTCTCAAACGTATTGCCGAGCAAGGGCTGTGGGATGATTTGCCTTTATTCTGCGCGTCTTGCACGTCTGGCAAGCGGTGGATTTAAGAGTGCCGGGCATGATAATGAATTCTGATGCCCTTGAGACCGGAGACAAATACTGTGTTAGTTGGGTAGACAATGAATGATTCTGGGGTGTTCAGCAGCCGTATTCAATCGCCAAGCCAGAACGAAGAAAGAGAAACTCGGCCACTTCTCATTTGATAGCGCGCAATGCATTAAATACCTACCTAACTACAGGTGGGGCCTATTGCTTTGCCGCAACATCTTCCCCAAAGTGTTGATCATCATGCCGCTAAACCAAGCTTACATTTGCCCGAGACTTTGTGCTGCTTATGTGATCAGTAACTCGTAGTAAGATGTCGCTGATCATGATTTGGTCAAGTAATTTGTATTAACTGAAGTTGGGCTTTTTTGCATTGCAGAATATGTTCGGTCTGTGCTTTCGCTTTCCATCGCCTCACCACGCGATTATATCTCCGGCATAGCGACAGTCACAGCAACGGCGCTCGGAAAGTACAATTTGATGATTCTTGCATTAAGAGGCGGTGTTGATACTCCACTCCAGCATAAGCATAAGTTTGGAAATGCTGACCTTGTCCAATTAAGTGCCGCTTTTAGCCGAAGCCAACAGGCAGAGTCTTGACGGAGTCCGGGATGATGCTGCACTGCAATCAGTCAGTCCCTTACATTCCCCGAGGTATTAGAATGAAGACCTAGATTGACACTACAGAGTTGGAGTACGGATAAACAAAATAGTCAACATAGGCCAACGTATAGGCACTTCAATATAAAGCCAACGAAACTCGAGAATAGAGCTTTAGCAGAGCGGTTGCCAAGCTCAATCCCTGCAATCTTGCTGTCGCATTGGGACCAAACCGTGTACGCCATGGCACACCGAGACCATTTGATTGCATTATGGTGCCCAGAAGAAAAAGAAAGAAAAGATAATAACAGCTCAGCGGGAAAGGCTGAGCTTTGAGTAGAGTGATTTGACCCCGGCGTTTTTCAACGGGGAAGACGACATGCCTATAGAAGATAGAGTTGAAATCAAGCTGGGAACGACGCACTTGTCAACTCACGAATCGCGCCTCATGAATGCAAGCGTTCAGCCTCTCTTTTTCATCATCAAAAGCTAGAGTTCTAGGCCAAAAGGTAAATCTCTTGGCCTAGCCGAGGGAATCCTATTATATATACCTTACTCTCTGACGTCCTAGACTCAGCTCGTGCCCTGCAATCTAGCACTTCATTCGGGTTAGCGATCCGATAGGTCTGTAACCTGAGGATGAGCTCTTTAAGGCTCAAACTTGGAACATCAATAGGATCGATATGGCAAGTGAATACAACTTCGCATGCAAAGAAGCGCCGTCAATTTGTGATAATATAATGCCGCGTATGTGCATTGAAGTTTCTATGGACTTTTGAAATCTGTATCTTGGGATTCAGAGTGTAGGTATTTAGTATATTCACCAATGGCGATAATGCTGATATTTCTTATCACTCCGGTGGTCTGATCGGAACCGTTCGCGATTGACTCGGATCGCTGCTCCGGAACTTGGTTCTCTGCGCGCGAAAAGGATAGTGGGGATTCCGATAATGCAGCTCTTTATCCGCCTGCGATTTGCCTAATAGCTCTTGTTCCTACCCTCTTATGGAAGGCCGAGAATGGACTTATGAAAGGAGATGTTGTGAGCTTTACCACACACCTGCCTATTACAGTCGTCGATACGACGGTTAACACGGCTAGTGATAGGAACTGGAATGTCATGGGACTTGATATAATAATGCCATTGAGAATCATGTCCTCCGTACCTATTCTTTCTCATACTGTATCCTGTCTTCGAAGTTGAATTTGTGTTGAACAGGCCAAAATGAAGCGAGCATCAGCCTCGATCACGCCATGGCTGTTCTTGTTGCCAAACTTGGTATTTGCCGGGTTCTTCCCACGACCAGTCATAGACCTTGGCCCTCCTATTGAAGAATACAGCCTTCTAGATGTTGATATAGCGGCTACCAATGGCTGGGGAACCTTTGACCAACTCATTGACCACTCCAACGCCAGCTTTGGCACATTCAAGCAACGCTACTGGTATGGAACTCAGTACTGGAAAGGCCCCGGGTCGCCCATCATTTATTTCAACCCTGGCGAGCAAGCCGCGACCAATTTCAACAACACATTCATGACCAACAGTCGACTGACTGGCCTCTTTGCAGAGGCGGTCGGTGGCGCCGTCGTGATGACAGAACATCGATACTGGGGCGAATCGTCTCCGTATGACACGCTGACGATTGACGCCTTGCAATACTTGACCGTGGAAAACAGCATCAAAGACAACATCTACTTCGCCAAGAATTGGGTCCCTCCCTTTGACGACAGTGGCGAGAGCGCACCGGACAAGGCCCCATGGGTCTTCTCAGGTGGCTCATATACTGGCGCAATGGCTCACTGGATGCTAAATACCGAACCTGGGACCTTCTGGGCATACCACAGCACCAGCGGTACTTTGGAGGCTATCCGTGACTTTTGGCAATACTTTCGGCCTGTCCAGGAGGCGACTCCAAAGAACTGCAGCAGGGATCTGAATGCTGCGATGGTCTATATTGACAATCTGCTTCTGAACGGAACGGAAGAGGAGAAGTTTGAGCTCAAGGATAAATTCATGCTTGGAGATCAGGAAGATGGTGACTTTGCCTCGTAAGTGTATTTGACTCATGAACATCCTGAATGTTCCGCCAAAGGTTGAAACCGCCCGTTAATAACGATCCTCGCAGATGGCTTGAGGTTGGCCCATGGACATGGCAGTCAACCCAATTTTACACCGAGTCAGTCAAAGGATATAATGACTATTACAGATTTTGCGATTATATCGAGGTATGGAGAAACTCCGTGACTCTCTAGTCATTCCTTGTCCCCTTTCTGTGCATCCACCCCAATAAGCCTATAAAAACCTTTAAGCTAACCTTCTGTTTCTGTAGAACGTCTGGCCCGGCTCAGGAAATCAAGTGCCAGGACCCGAAGGAGTTGGAAAAGACAAAGCCATCGATGGATATGCAAGGTGGATGACTGAACAATATATGGCAGGCTGTAAGTCCCAGTGTATGCCGACGATGACTGTAAAAGCTAACCCGTCTGCGTGTGTGCTTCAGTATGCGAGGCCTCGGGATATCCAGAGTGGCAAGGAACGTACAACACCGCTTGCTTCGCTCTGAGCAACGCCTCGAGTCCCATGTACACGGACTTGAGCGTCGACAATTTTGCCGGCCGACAATGGGATTGGATGCTGTGCAATGAACCGTGAGTGATCCCTACTCCGCCCACGCTTCACATATTAATCGTTCTGAATTGTTGAGCAGGCTGCTATACTGGCAAACGGGAGCCCCTAAGAGCGAATGCAAGACCCTGGTGCCCCGGACCGCCAGCGCGGACTACTGGGAGAACGTCATGTGCAACATCGTATTTCCCGAGGGCAGATTCGGGCTCAGCAACGGCAAGACGGTGGAGGACTACAACAAGTACACGTCTGGCTGGGCAGGCGAGTACAGCAAGGATGCCCGGATCATGGATGCGAACGGGCAGTTCGATCCCTGGCGCGATGCCACTCTGAGCTCAGTCGACCGGCCAGGCGGGCCGATGCAAAGCACTCCAGAGCATCCCATCCGAGTCATTCCCGGCGGTATGCATTGCTCTGAGTACTACAAGAACAACTGGGATGTTAATGAAGAGACAAAGAAGATTGCCTATGAGGAGGTGGAAACGCTGAAGGGATGGATAGAGGAGTTTTACGAGGCCAAACCCAAGGCGTAGGCGGCGTAAAATGGCAATACAGGAGTAAAAGGCACTAAAGGGGAGGCCTAAATCCCGATCATGTCCACTGTAGCCACTGAAGCCAAGCCTCAACTACCTAAGGTCTGTAGTCAGAATACTCAATTATTCAAACACATCCCTTATTATTAACATTTCTCATGTTGCTCAGTGCCGAAATTGATTGCGATGATGAGCCACGGGCACACGTGAGATACACAGTATAAGGCGTAGCAAGTTATTGTGGAAAATTTGTCCTTTATTTCATTTAGGCTGGGTGTCCTGGCAATCAACCAGTGAAGCAATTGATATGTACCTCCGAAATATTTGGCCTACCCTACAACACCTTTGGCACTTGGCACTTGGCCGTGGCCTTCACACTGGAATCAGACTCGGATGTCGCCGTCAACGTGACGACTCCCGTATCAACCGCCCCCTCTCCCGCGCCAACGGCAACAAATGCCGTCTGTGTCTCTCCGTATTTCGCTACGACAAACACATTCGGCACGTCCACCTTCCAGCCATCGCCCTCGACCGAGGCCTCGAGACGGAAGATGTCAGACCCCGCGTACTCCGTCACGTCGTGCGGGTGGGAGCCCCCTGCGACGTAGCTGCCGCTGTTCTTCAGCTCGAACGAGCAGTAGACTCCCGTAGTCGTTGGCGTCCTGCTCTTCCCTGCGACCGCGCTGCCCTCGGCCAGCTCAACACCAAACGTGCTGCCTCCGGATCCCTCCAGCGACCGCGCACCGACAGCATAGGACAGCACGCCATCCGCATCTCGCCGGCGCGTGAGGACATAGAAGTGCAGCTTGTTCGCCTCGTCGATGTGCTCGTACTGACTGCCCGATCCGGTGCCCAGGTGGAACAGCGCGTCGGCCAGCTGGCGGTAGTCACCGAGCGTGATCATCTGCTCGCCGCCACCAGGCTTGACGAAGTCGACGAGCTCAATGTCCTGCGGGTTCGCGTCAATGACCCACTGGAAGGGCGCGCTGTCGACCTGCTTCGACTTGCTGATCAGCACCCCCGCGTCGGCCTGGAACGAGTCGGCGCCCATGCGGTCGACCACCTCGACGTCGTAGTAGTTGTAGCCGCCGCCGTCGCAGAAGACGTCGTTGCTGACGCTGCAGGAGGGGGAGAGGTCTCCGGCGTCCCCGAGCTCGACGCGCAGGCCCATCAGGTCGGACACGACCGATCTCGCTGTCAGGCGCGCGACGATGATGCCTGACTCGGCCAGGGCGGAGCGTGAGAGGCGGAGGAGGCTGCTCTCCTCGATCAGGCCGAGCTGGTACTTGTCTCGGACGGTGTGGAGCGATCCCATCGAGCTTCCCTGCAGCGCGGGGATCTTCCATCTCGTGTGAGGTCCGCCGGGCCCGTTGAACGAGCCGCGCGACATCATCGACCAAGGACCGGTGTAGGCGCGCTGCAGGGGCGTGCCGTACGGGTTGTTGTAGTTGTCTCCAATGTCGAGCAGGTGGCTGAGCTCGTGGGCGTAGACGGCCATGCCGGAGCTCTCGGCCTGGGTGGACGAGCCGTCCCCGGCGTTGGGCCAGATGCACGAGGCGGCGGCCCAGCTGGACCAGGGGACGTAGCGGGTGGTGGCCCAGTTGGTGAGGTTGGAGGACGCGTCCTTGGGGGGGCCGAAGTCGTCCGTGACGTCCTCCTTGGCGGCGAACTTCATCTGCCCGAACTCCTGCCAGGTGGAGGACTCGTCCTGGCCGGACGAGAGGAGGAAGACGAGCTCGTACGAGTCGGCCACCTCGTCCCCGACGTCCTTGCGCCACAGGCCGAGGCCGTCGGTGCGGAGGTCGACGTTGCAGGCATCTGCGACGGGGCAGGAGCCCTCGTTCATCCAGTCGTCGATTCCGTACTGCCAGGAGAGGGAGGGCATGCGGTAGACGCCGTACACGGTGAGGTCGACGCCAAAGCGACCCCCCGAGTCCTCCATCCAGTATTCATGCAGGGTGTGGCCTTGGTTGAGCTCATTGGGGGTGTTGAGAAGGTCCCGGTAGAAGACAGGTACGTCCGCGACAGGAACATCAGCGACACTCGACTGCGGGTTTCCAAAGATGGTTGACTCGGCAGGCTGGGTGATGACAAACGGCTTGTCCGAGTAGTCGAGGGTGATGAGGGCGATGTGGAAGTTGCGCTCAGAACCGGTCTGCGAAGGATTACTCCAGTTGGTCTTGGGAGGCGCGATGAAGTCGCCCCAGGTCATATCATCTGGGTTGACCCATTTCTGAGGATCGAGAGGCTCAAAGGGATTGGTGCGCGGGATGCACGAGGCTGCGCGAGCCAAGACGGCGCCCAAGCCGAGACCCAAGGCGGTGGTAAGCTGCATGACTACAACTGTGATGGCTGCAGAAACGAGCCAAGGTGAGCAGGTGAAGAAGTCTGGACAATGCGGTTGCACCACCGCTTGTTGCTTGCGGTCACGTTCACCTCAAAACTGAGAAGCTTCTCAGCCCGTCTCTTTCTTTATACTCGCCATCCCGCGAACCCGACCACCAACCCCGCCTGAGCAGCTTATCTCCTACCTCTCTGGACGGTTCTTTTGCCTCTGGCCTGCCGTTCGATTAATAGTGGGTAGGTCTTTTTGTAAGGTTGAGTGCCCAGGATCAGATACACCCGGACTGATCAACCGGCGGTCGACCTGCCACATTTGGGGAGGCTTATGGGTCCTCTGGCTTGCTAACAGTTGCGAGCGGTTCACCGAACTCGTCCATGATCTTCCGTTATCACGGGCGCCTTGGAGTCTCCGCACTCTGGCTCTCGGGTGAGCTCCCGTGGCCTGGTCGTAGGCGGGCCATCCACCTGTTTCTTAATCTTTTGACTTCTCGGTCCGTCTTGTAGTGTATTAGATTGGCCCATCGATACCCCTGCGTGCCGTAGGTTGGTTATCTCGCCCAAATGCCGCCATGTGCATTAAGCTTGCTGTAAAAGTCTCCATATCCAATGACACCAGCCACCCGATTTCTTGTGCCGCTGTCTCGTTACATCGCATTAGTTGATTAATCATAGTCTGATGTCAGGGAGTGCCGGGGATTGGTTTTTGCCCTGTTGTAGTTTGTCGTCTCGGCCATTTCCAATTCTTCGCAGCCCCGCGCTGCCTGGAAGTGTCAACCACCTGCGTTGCACGGTTGAGCGACATGGTTGTCAGTGAGTTGAATCAAGGCCAGCCTCTCTGCCAATATTCCCATGTTGAGCGCAGCAGGTTTGGGGCAACGTCTCCGAGTTGTGACCAGGATGCTTGCCTCAGCCTCAAGATGAGCGCTGAGAAATTCGACACCGGTCTTTGCGCACACCATTCAATGGCGTGCAATATGTTTTGTAAAATCTAAAAACGCAAAGCAGATATCAGGTAAGTGGGAAATGGCCCGACTTCATCATCCGCTGCGTATCGCTATCCACACGCACAAAGATCCCAGCCGAGTCAGACCCCATCCTCCGATTGTCCATCTCATCCTCGTCAACCAGGTACGCGGCCCCCGAAGCGGCGGCGCTCCGCTTGTCCTGCTCCTCGTTGTACGCCAGCTTCCCCTCGGACCTGCCCATCATGAAGAGCCTGGAGGCGCCGTACAGCTGGGTGGTGATCCAGAGGATGAAGATGATGGGGGTGACGACGCGGAAGGCGAGGCTCCAGAGCGGCCAGGACTTCTGGAGCAGGAAGACGGTGACGGAGACCTCGGCGGTGGCGGCGGCGACGACCCAGGCGCAGCAGAAGTAGGCGAGGCGGGAGCGCAGGACGTGGTTGCGGCTCTTGACGCGCCAGACGATCATGGAGACGAGGACGGGGACCTCGGAGATGAGGTCGAACATGCCCCAGACCATGCACATGAAGAACTCCATGGTGGCGTCGGGGTGCCTGCGGATGTCGGCGAAGAGGGCGAGCGAGGTCTGGACGATGATGAGCAGGCCGATGTGGTGGGCGATGGTGATGGGGCTGGCGAACTGGGTGCGGAAGCACATCTCGTAGAGGTAGTAGGAGGTGTAGACCTCGGAGAAGACGAAGAGCATGTCGCCGACGGTGATGCGGGACGAGCGGCGGTCGATGTGGGTGGAGAAGTCGGCGTTGCCCACGAGGAAGCTGAGGACGGGGTAGACGCTGGTGCAGAGCAGGATGAACATCATGATGGCGCCGATGTGGTAGTAGGTGAAGGACCGGCGGCGGCGCTCGTTGCCGCTGGCCAGGAGGCGCTGCCACGTCTTGGGGTAGAGGCGGCGCAGGATCCAGCGCTCGAGCACGTTGGAGAGCAGGACGACGAAGATGACGCTGCACACGAGGATGAGCGAGCCGTAGGGCAGCATCTTGGAGAGGGTGCGGTTCTTGAGCGTGTTGATCTTGGGGCCCTTGTACCGCCCGCCGGGGGGGTGGCGCGTGACGTTCATTCTGGCGATGCTCCCTCGATGGGTTCAATTGACTCCGTGCCTCCAGTCTGTGTCTGTCTGTGTCTGTCTGCCTGTGTCCTGGCCGGTGGTTTCTATATCCCACGGCCGTGATAGTCGGCCGTCGTCGTGACGCGGCTGAGAGACGATCAGAGAGGCAGTGTTTGCCCGGCGCCCGCGGCCACCCGCAAGAAAATGACCGCAAAAGGGTGCCAAGAAGGGGGCTGATTGAACGCGCGACTTTTTTCTCTTATTCTGCAGGATCGATTGCGAGGCAGGAGACTGGGAATAAGCAGGAGAAAAGTTCCAGGCCAAGAGGCTAGTCGTGTAACTAGTGATCAATTCATCCTCGTATCACCGTTTCAATGTCTGTGTGAATATTCCGTCGACACGCCCGAGCCAAGCCGTGGGATCAGCAGGCCCCATTTCCGTCGCGTGTTGCTGCTGCTTGATTGCCCCGGATTCTGGAACTCCGCCAGCATGCCACAGCAGGGGACGAGAGAGTGGGAGAGAGAGATGAGATCAGGCGGAGATGGACAGAGAATCAGAGATTCGCGGAAAAGGGGTCACTGACGCTAAGTTCAATTGACGGGGGAGATTGACAGGTCCAATATTGCCTTCGGTCTCCGTCTGTTCAGCCGTTTGCCCCAAACAAGCGGGAAAACGCCTCGCCGGCCAATATTTCTGCAGGGGCCAGTCTCATCTCGGGGTCCGGCCAGCGGTCTTCAGAACAGATCAGATCCGCCCTCGAGCCTGGCAGCTGTGTCATTGATATCATATGGCCATGAGCTGTCTCAGCAGCCAAGCCTCTTCCGTGTTTCATGCAGGGAAGGATGGCTCATCCGGCAAATGCAGCAGTGCCTGTCCCTGAGGGAGGGTCCAACGTCTCCCACCAACTTGGCTAGCCGCACTGACATGCCGCGCGTCCTCGTGTTCGATTTCGATCAAGCAATTTGCCTGGGCCAGGAATGATGGCACCGTCTGCGCTCTAGTCTTGATTGGGGTCAGCCCTAACAGCCGTCTGCCGCTTGGGGACGGTGCATCATCGCCCATCCGCGTGCCGTGGGACTTTTGATCGACTGCCACGGCTTGTTCAGACGGGCGAAATGCCCCGTAATCTCTCCGTCGTGGTGGAGGGCCGTTTGAATTTTAATTTTTCGGCTGCTGCTCCCGAGGGGGATCGTCGAGTTTACGTAGCTGAGTCTAAGCCTCTCTGCATTGCCGCGATCAAATCCTTCCACATACATCCCACGCCCATTTATTACCATTACGGCTCTGATCAGACGAGCTTGGGCCGGCTTCAAAAGTTCAAACAGGCAGGCGCTGACCAATGCCGAAACTAGATGACGCTGTGCCTGGGGCTGGCAAGTCTCCTGAAACGATGAGCTGGCTGACCATGCAGACAGAGCGCCATGACACTTCATTTGATGATTTTTTTTTAATTGGATCTGCCTTATACCACATGCAGTAGCTTTATTCTAACCTACCTACCTCCATCACATGCTTCACCCCATGGACAGGATGTTGGTCAGGTCCTCAAACGAGTAGGCCAGCGCCCCGGCCGCCCCCTCGAGCACCGGACTGCTCGCCACCAGCCCGTCCGCCGCCGACGCCTGCAGCACCCTCGCGAGGTCGCTCTCGTCCGGCGGGTGGCACTGCGCGAGCGAGTACTCGACCACCATGGCGATCCTCATGTACGACTGAGGCTCGTAGACGACCAGGTCCGCCCACGCATTCCCGGAGGCCTCTTGCCTCCTCTCCTCCTGCTCGTGGTGGGATCGCGGAAAGACGGCATCGTGGAGCAAGGGGTGCGTGCTCTTGGGCGCGTGCATCATCGGGCCCGCGCCGACGCTCTCGGTCGTCTTGAGGTACTCGACCGCCTTCTGGATGCACTGGAGCGTGCTGTCGGCGCTCTCGTACGTGCTCCTGAAGCTGCGCATCACGCTCGTGTAGGCCTTCATGATGCGCGGGGCCTCCTGGGACTTGGACGTGCCCTTCATCATCTGCGTCTCGAGGATGTGCCATGTGAATGGGAGGGCGAGGAAGGTAATACTATCGGGCGTCAGAATTGAACGTTTCAATACATCTTGATTAAGGGACTTACAATGTGTTGGGGAGATATCTCGTCAGATCAAGCCTGTTCAATTCGAGAACGCTCTCCGTGATGCCTCGCAAGGAGTGATCCATGTTAAACCGGCTGCGCACCTGATGCTCCCCGGGCGGGAAAAGGCCGTTGTTCGCCTTGACAGAGAGCAGCAGAGCATGATGGCAGATGGATGCTTTGGCAACACTGCAGCTCTTAGCGACAGCTCAAATAATAATGAAGCGTCATTGAACCAGAACTTACAAATAGTAAATATAAATCATCTTCATGAATAATGTGACGAAGCGATGTCCCTCGGATATCTCAGCCGGAGATTTCACCGTCGCCTTCGAGGTCTCATACCACAAGTCGAGCATTTCCAGGCATAATGTGCCCTCCTGGATCATGCCTTCCGATGCCCCGACCGAGGAGGTGGTGGAGGAGCCATGCCGAAGGACGGCAAATACTTTATCAAAGATCACCACCAGCTGGCACAGTGCAGATGATATGTGGACAAGGACCTGCTTTGTTTCTCTCTCGTAGACGCTCTGACACTCCAGCTCGTTTTGAATGTCGCTCCTCTCCAGACCAGGCTGGCCAAAGTCGAACTCGTCGGCGTGGATGTTGACCGGCCGTCGCAAACTCAGCGCCATGATCCTGTCTCTCAGGATACAGCACCACCAAAGCCTCTTCAGCGTCTGCGAGTTGCCAGATTGGTGGCTTGGTAGGTGATACTTATCTGCCCGTTCGCTCCGAGCAAAGTGGACGGCCGTGCTGAGCCAATAGCTATTTATCATGCGGTCGCCTTCTGGGGAGTAGTACGTCATCAATAAGGCGGCTTGTGCCTTGATTATGTTGTCTCTTTGGCATGTCAAATCGAACAGAGCCTTGGCAACCGTCAGCTATGAGTTAGACGGCTGTCAGGGGCGAGGAGGCAAACCTTTGTTCTGGAGTAGAGCTGGCTGCGTGCTTCTTTCACGCCAGGAAACCCAAGCTTTTTAAGCTCAGGTAGTGAGACGTACTGGGAAGGGTTAGCTGTGATACCATACCGGATGGCCAGACGTGCTCACAGGACATGCAGCAAAAAGCATTGCGTAGAGCAGTAGTAATGGAATGTCTCTCCCAGAAGGATGGAAGTAGGATGCCCAGAAGGCACCTTCATCAATGAGGGGAAGAATTGGATGCACAATGCGGAAGTACTGTTTAAGAAATTCGTTCATCAATGCGCGCGACGGCACATGGAACGAACCCTGCTGCTCCAAGAAGGCGGCTTCGCTTGGTGACAGCTGCCATAAGCCCTGACTGTCGATGAACTGGCAACAGGAGTGCAGCATCCAGGGAGGGTCGGCATCAGATGCCGCGTCTGAATGGAACATTAGGGCAGATTGATCCGACTCTGTAGCATGTGAGCGACATGGACTTTGGGGATTGGCGGCAGCTCCTACCTTGAAGCGCAGCTATAGATCGACTTGTAGGTTTCTTGCCTGCTATAATCTGTGACAAGGTCTTGCCGCTTATAGGGTCAACTGCGGTGTTGAAGAACTCATTGTGGTAGGATAGATCGACTGGGAGATATGAATTTCTCTGCTCAGGCCCGACCTGCTCTTGGGTATCCTCCCAGGGCAGCATGATCACGTTTTCAGTAGCCTGCAGTGCTTGTCCTGATATCTCAAGCACGTCGGGGAGCAAAGCAGGAGACTTTAGGCTGGCTGAGAATGACCCAAAGCCTTCCTGGCCTATCCCGAGACTCGATGACGGATTGGCAATGTTTTCTACTGGCTCACCCTCCAACATGTCTTCCGAAAAACAATCCGATGGCGATGACGCCTCCGGGCTCTTCCCAAGCTTAGCAGCCCGGCGTTTTCGGTTCAGTGATATCCTGACACCATCATGTAAGTCAACACGCAACATGTTGGGCACATGCTAGGCCGGGGGTTCGTCATACCGATGCGGATACTTGGGTCGCTTCCTTGGTACCATGGCACAGCACAAATCACCGATCCGGCAGTTGGTGCAAGGCGCTCCAGCCCGCAACACATCACAGCGCACCTTGCGACTCCTGCATGCAGTGCAAGCCCGCCGCGACCTAGCCGGGCGGGTCTCCCCAGACTTGTCACATGAGAGCGTGCCAATAATCTCCGCGTCGAAGACGCCGAAGCACTCCATACCCTCGTCGTCTTCCATTATTCTAAGGTATGATTGCGGTGCCGAAGTGAGTTTGAGATCCGGTTCAGTGTTTCACCGAGAGGTGGGTGCTTATGGAAACTCGATCTTGGAGACCGAAAGTTGCCATCAAGTGAAGCCGACCACGGGGGATTCGGGACTGTAAACGTATTTGGCAATTTCCATATGATTCCGAGGCTATGGGCGGCTGTGATGAGCCAGAACGGATCCGATGGTACCGGATCCGGTACGCCACAGGATTGGCCAATGATGAGTTGTTCCGGGTCCTCCGTGTCGGAATTAAGGGGTCGCTTTCCGACTTTCGGAACAGGCACGGTCCGGCTCCACGGAAAAACTGGTAAAGAGCTACTGTACCCAGGCCATTGATTAAGACTCCGTGCTCTTATCTTTTAGTTTGGATATAGACGATATGCTTTGGAATAATTGTCTATGAAATTTAACGTTGTTCAATACTGACATTCAATTTGTTGAATTTTACCGTTGTTTTATTGGCTTTGAAAAACATTGGTCCATGTATTTCGGTATCAACGAAGTGTCATTATCACCATTAGCTGCACCTGCTTCCACTTCAAGGAATAACTTCATCTTTAGGTAACGAGTATGCAGTCATGGAGACTCGATTCTCAGCTACATAATGCTTCACCACGGTCAGACAGTGGCCATGAACTCTCTGAGTATGACTGACGATCCCCCGCAAGTCTCTGTACGCCAGTGAAAGCTTAGGGTAACCGTCACAACCCCTGGCGAAAGTGGGAACGGTTTCCTAGTCAGCTACAATCGCCCTAACAAGGTGGCTAGGCTCTAGCAAGCGGGGAGTTGGCCCGCCTGACGGTCTGCCTTGCTGGTATTGACCTCACACCACGAAATGGCAACCACCACGGCAGTATCCTAGAGCTTCCAGGCAACGTGTGTTGATGGCCCCCAGATGGACGTCGAATTTGTCAGATGGCGACAAATTTTACCAATGCCCTCAATCGAGTGAGACGCCGATGCATAAGCAATCTTTACGACCAACTGAAATGTCAGGTCGCACGTGATCTTCAGCCCCTTAATATTACTTCGTTTCTGTTTGGGTGCCCCATTCCCGTCCTAGCCTGCGGAGAAATCTCAACGCTCTGCCACGCGAGGAAGATGCAACAGGACAAGGCGATTCTTCACCATGATGGCGATTGCGTAGATGATATGGGGGAGAGCCTCTCCAGTATTGTCGCGCTCTCCGGAACATCAATCACCGATCATCTGCTCAGCATACAAAAGCACCAGTTCAAGGAACATGAATCAACCTCGTTTGTCAAAGAACTTGTTTGCTTCTCTCATGAACCACAATCAAGCTCGGATTCTCAATGCAAAAATGGCAACGGTCGGACTCATTACGGCCATTTGAGTCGGCACATCATCGACGGTCGCACACAACGAGACTATGTGGCTCTCTCTTATACTTGGAACCCGTCCGAAAAAGAAGGGAATTCGAGCGGAGGTTACACAGTTGAGCAGGCCGAGAGCTCTCAGTCCCAGCATCTTGCCTCGCCTGTTCGGGACTGTGCCCTCGCCCGTGCCATTCGGTATATGCAGCACACAAAGGTTGGGTACCTGTGGATCGACCGACACAGCGTTGATCAAGATGATGAGCAGAAGAAGCAGAGAGGAGTCCAGGCGATGCATCTCGTGTACTCCTACAGCAATCATCCGGTTGCCCTGCTCGCACGAACCGTCTACTCCCACACCGAACTAGAGCGTCTTCACAGACTTCTCGCTGGCAAGGTCGTAAGAAGGGTTACGGCCCGAGTCGTGAAGCAACAGCGCATTTCACTTAAACTGGCGAAAGGCATCACCCGTGTAGAGGCTCTCGAAACCATTCGTCTGCTCTATGAAATGTCACGAGATGATTGGTGGACACGAGCATGGACGTTCCAAGAAAACTATCGCGCCGGCGTCAGGATGACTTTGCTTATCCCCCACAACACCATCCTGGAAAGTGAGAAAAGGCGCTTCGGCGTGTTCGGAGACTTACCAGGCGAACTATCTATCAAGGCTGTTACCCTCTCAGACCACGCCACCCGGTTATGCCAGGTGCTAAAATCCGGGGCTGTCGGCACGCTCTCCCAGGAGATGAAGACGATGATCAAAAACATCCTCAAAACCATGGGCAAGTATACCCGGATACTCGACCGGTCGCAACTGATGACCCCAAAGATCATCTCCGATATTTCCAACAGGGGGATCAAAGATTCCTGGGACCGTCTAGCAATCACGGCAAATTGTTGCTGGTTCCCAACCCGGCTGGATACCCTGGGACTTAGACGCGAAGGCCACAGTCTCAGCCTGTCAGTTCTAGCCCTGTTTCTTCTGAACGGCGGGATTCTAGACAATGGGATCAGAAGCTCCGCACATGAGGCGTTATACTACACTACTCCTCAGTATCTCAAGTTCCAATCATTCAATCGCTTCCGCAGCCCATACCAAGCGCACCCGCTCACTTTTAATAAGAACTGCCGTTTTCACCAGGCGAGCCTTGTCGACGATGGAATCAAAACAAATGGTCACTTATGGAAGCTTGGGAGTTTGATTGATAGTTCAATACTTCACGACATTCCAATCGGGCCGGAAACCAAGTCATTTCGACTGAACGAGGAGCAAAGGCAAAGCCTCCGCCAGTTGGAGTTGTCGTTTAAACAGGAAGGCATGAGAACGCTCGCGTCTAGTATTGGCTGGTTGCTGGAGTTGGATGGCAGCACAGTACAGGAAGAGGACTGGAAGCTATTGCCATTCAAGGAGCAGTACTTATTGCAAATGGCTTTGGAACTAGCATACGCGATTAAAAAGGGAGGGAAACTGCGGGTGGGAGCGCTGTGGGACTCTCAGAGTCCCTCGCCGTCTCCGAGCGAGCAGCGGGCTCTCTTCGTCTGGAACGAAGAGGCAGATGGGTTAACGAATTCGCATGATGAGGATGCGATCCCACCAGCATTTGCATTCACTTCCATCGTTCCAGTGGGGACTGACGACGGAGAATATCGCAAAGATGTTAATAGGCACGTTTCCCTCGAGGTGGAAATGGAAGGTCTAGACAAGCCCGAGAGTGACGCGTGTGTGCCACGGTTGTATATCAAGAACTGGCTTCTTGGGGTGTGCTTTGTCGAGGAGGCCGCACCAAGCGATGTCATTTTTCCATGGCCCACAGAATTCCAATAGCATATCGAACGAAGATAGTGTATCGTACCAAAAGTTTTATTCTTGAGCTTCGTTGAATTTTCTCACTGGGGGCTTTCTTGCTATGTCATTTCGGCACTACATCTGAAGAAGAGTCGATCAAGCGGTTATTGATGTAAGAGCCTGGAAGACCCGATGCAGTCGACTTAATACCCCATCCTCATTTTGATATATCTGGTGGTGGTGATTAGACGCTCTCCACTGACACGAATCCCCTTCCTGCGGTTCCAACTTAGCAAAAGGTAGAGACTGATAGACTAGCATCTGTAAGGTTGAGCCACACCATACTCGTCTCTCCTGGATGCATGACAGTGCCCCCAGGCTTCCTCAACCTTTCTCGCCGTGTCAGGGGAGAGCTTAAGAAGCTCTCCATTTCCCCGACAAAAGGTTTCCTCCACGGCAACTCTTGCCGCAGATGTAATCAAACCTCGTTGTCGAATCCTGCCACCGATTGTTTTATGCACGTGTCGAGCATTGTTGATGACGGCCTCATCCCCTACTAGAATGCAATCCTTTTCAGAAATAAAGGCTAACTGTGTCAAACAAGGAAGCATATCCGTTATAAACAAAGTGGTGATCCGAAGAGGCCCACTTTGGAAGTGGGATAACCACTTTGAGATCTTCCAACTGGTCACGTCAACGCAGACGAGTGAAACAACGGTCACCGGCAGATGCCATTCATACATTCCACAATGTCTTGCTGCCCATAAAATATCACGGAATGTGACAGAATGACGTCTTACACTTTTTGGGATACCAGATTGTCGAATTTCAATTGATGGATATCCTTTGCCCATGCGCAATCCAAGTTAGATGATTGAGGATGAGCTTTGATGAACGGACCATATGAATATGAATTCCGATACTGATTTTCAATAGCTTTTTGGTATTCATGTTCCCAAAGCCTCATTGAATCATGGGCCTTTTTATCGCCCCAAGAATCGGATGTTTTGAGATGAGCCAGGATTAGGGGTCTTCTTAGTTATCATCGGGGACTCGGCCGACACTGAATCGCCAGCGGCAAAGACCGTTTAAGCTAAAATTGTACTAAAGACCGATCCCGGTAACGGGCAGCAGTTTCAGGGACCAATGAAATATGACGACTTCTACGCGCTACCTGTGCATTCCATCAGGTCTTAGGTCTGGACTGGGCCGACATCATCAAACGCGAGTCATTATTCATGGACCCTGGATGCCGAAGTAGTGCCTGAAGTAGAATTTTTTTTTCTCTTGCCCCTGGCCTAGTAGAACTTTATCTGAAGCTATTCCCCTAGTAAAATTAATTTCCTCTTTCTGACGTTCATCTGGACGACAGTTGTGTGGTATAATCAGGAGACCGGTATTCTTGTTCTTTCTGTTGCAGGCTTCACCATGGGGTTCCTCAGAAAACATTCCCATAAGGA